AAATTGATTGCTGAAATCCTGATAAGTTATAGGACATAACATTCATGTCAAGGTCTAAACAAGTCTACATCTGACTTGCTTAGAGGGGAAAAAGTGTGTTTGAACTTTAATGTACTTAATATATCACCTAGATTTTTACAACATCATATTGGAAATACAAGGAATAAATTGCGATGGTGATTCTTTTTTAGATGGCATCGTGTAAATCTTATATCAAGTATCTGATAAACATATTCTACAGAAGCAGTCTGAAATGGTGGACTAAACTTCAAGGCATGACATAAAAAAGAAGGCATAATCTCTTGCCAGAATATTTTTTAGGCATTCTGGTTTTGTGATATATCTAGTAATAACCTAAACATAGTATTTGTTGTTATTTTAAAATAAATTGTTTGTATTGTCTCTGTAAGCTAAAAATAGTTGAATTTATAATGATTTTCATATATTTAATACTATTACACAAAAGCCTCTGTTTCTATGAAATGTCCCCAGTGGGGCCAGAAGAAATCTTCAATAAAAGCAGAGCTGAAACTGTCAAGATTTTCTAGCTTATTTGCCATGTTTTTTGTTCCTGATTTAAATTAACGGCAACTAGCTATGAACTTTTAGTATTACACTATATTACACTAGACTCTTTATAGTATTTCCTAAAGATAATTGGGAATTTCTAAGAAATTGGAGAGGGTTCTGAGAAAAAAAAAGATTATATGTACATTGCATCGTCATCCATGATGATCATATGATGAATTTTTCTGAAATCTTTTCAGTAGGAAGCTTGCGTGTGCTCGTAAATTCCTATCTACAGTGACTTACGTAGGAAAAAAACTGCAAAAGAAAATGACATTAGTGGAAAAAAATAAGAATGCTTTGGCCAGATAATCCAACAACAAAATGCAGTAGAGTAGTAGATTTTTTTAAAAAACTGCTCAAATCAAAGGCCTTTATCTTTCAGGTGCCATGCCCACTTTTCTCTCATTGGAAGAGTCGAGAGTTTCTTTCGCAAGTTGGGATATTCTGTATAAGGGTTAAAAACATAATCACCTATAAAATTATTTGGGAAAGGAGGTTGGTTTTTGAAATGAGGCTTTTTTCAAATTTGCTTTTTAAAAATACTTCACAACTTTTTATTGCTTAAAATGTCTGAGATTTACATTGACAAAATGCTTATATACTGATGTAGCTTAAAATTTTTAAGTATTAATTTCACTGAAACTTAGGAAAAAAAATTTGTAAAGATTTTTTCTTCATAAAAAGTTTTGTAGAACAAATTCATTGGTGATTTACAAAATAAATTCCTGCAAAGAGTAGATTTACATCAGCCAATGTTCCTGCACATTGTAACAAATGATCCATACACATTTCCTGCCGAAACTCTTTACTTTTTTGCTCATGCTGGTGTTAGCTTCCAATTTTAAGTGCATTAATATTTAACTTTGGAGTTGTTTTGGAAAGAACAGCACCTTATTCTGTTTGTTTTGTTTCATTAGAGGTTTAAAGTTAAATCAACTGTAAATGCTAATAATTCTTTTGGAAAGAAGCTAGTGACCTGTGAAATATGTTGATGCATGTAACTGGCAGCAAGTTTTATTATGCAGCACAAAAATAAAAATACAATAATTGCAAATGTATTTAGCAATTTCAGGGTGGAGGATATTTTATTTACGGTTCATCTAGTTTGACTTTTTTTCTAAAAATAAAAATTACTATTAAAAAAAATCAGATAAAAGCCCTTCAATTTTTACACCATTACCTATGTTTAAACCTTCTTGATCTGTGTAGTGCAAATACTTTCACATTGGCATAAAATTAATGCCAGTGTATGTTGTTGTGAAACCATTGTTTTATATTTTACAGTACTGCTATTTGCATTACTTTAGTAGCCTTCAATTAACAAACCCTAATAATATCAACGTCTGTTTCATTTCAGTGCTAAGCCCGAAGGTGATAGGCATTGCTATAGCCAGGTATGACTTCTGTGCAAGAGACATGAGAGAACTGTCCTTATTGAAAGGCGATGTTGTAAAAATTTATACAAAGATGAGTGCGAATGGCTGGTGGAGAGGTGAAGTAAATGGAAAGGTAAGGTTGGGTTTTTTTCTTTGTCTCACTTCTGCCTTCCCTGACAGTGATTTTGTAAAAAATTAAGGTGTGTTCCTACATCATAAACTTTCTTTGTATGTTTAAATTCACAAGATAGAACATGTTCTCATGTCTGTTTCATAGGAGCCAGGCAGAACTCTTGCCAGGCAGCTTTCCCAGCATCTAAATTAATTGGTATTTAACGTGACCTACCAGGCTGAATATTTGGGCAAGATTATATGGTTGGAAAATAACCAGGATTAATAGTACAGCTACAGCTGAACTTTCTTGAACTGTGCAGCACATACGTATTTGGGGTCAAAAGCTCAGGATCCTGGTGCCATGGAAGTCTGTTTAGCAGTTTAACACAGAATGATTTCCATAGCTTTCTGCCACACTCCAATGCAATGGAATCAGTCACCTTTTTTATAGGAGGCTGCTGCTTTAATCTCTAAAAATGTGGCTCTTATGAAGAGTGGCATATTTAGGAGAGATTTTTACAAAGTCACTTTACACTGCACTCTAAGACTTGCATGGAAGTAAATTTTCAGTTTTGACCTATAAAGGCTATATTGTTTCAGTCTTAATAAACCACTCTTTAATGCAGATTAGTCAGAAGTATTTGAGGCTGTTGTTTCCATGTCTAAAGGGCTGAGATGCAGGGTCAAGGAATACGACGTGGAAGTAAGTAGATTGGCTGGAAGCTGGAAATGAAAGTTGCAAGTCTGGTTGACATAGATGTCCAGATTTACTGCTTTTATACGATTTGGAGAATTTTTTTTACGTACATGAGCCTGGTTATGATCTTAAAGTGAAATGGTCAATTGGACAAGAAGAAATAGGGAAGTGGAAGAAATAGAGGTTATTCCATATACATTTTACATGCGAAGAAAGCTGAGCATCTCATTCTAATGCAGCTACCCACATCCTAAAGGACGCCCTGTTGTATACTAGCATTCTTTCTGATAGCTTTCACAGCCTGGACTTGAGATCACAAGCTCACCTCTGGAGATATTTTGGCAGGGTAGTATAAAAGTTTATGCAATTACTCCTTCCAGTCATGATCTAGGTTTGTTTTTGAGGTCATTCATGAGTGTTAAATTGACTTAGGTATAAAGAAGTCTGAGTAAAAAACCTAAAGCGAATAGGTAAGACAATAAGAAACATATGGCATTGCTTCCCTGTGTGTCTTATATAATCCTTATTTGACACATTATTAATTTTGGAATGGAGATAGCAGTATAATTTATGAAGTGTAAAACACTGGACTCTGCTTTCCACTTCTGTCTTATTTAAAACTCCCGTTGGTGGCAATAGAATTTAACTCCATGTAACGCAATCAAATCAGTCACTATTTCACTTTGTAAGAGGATTCCCTGGTCTGGACTGAAGCCTGTTAAATATTTAACTCCTCATTCACAAAACAGTAGCATCCTCCCTGTAGTAAAACTACTTCTACTCTTTGCATTTCTAGACTCTGTTCTGAATGCTTAGACTTCCAATTTGGGCAAAGGGTGTTGTGTTTTTTTGTTTTGAGGGGGTTTTTTGTGTTTTTGTTTGTTTGGGTTGTTTTGGTTTTTTTGAGGGCGGGGTGTGGATTTAGTCTCCAAGTCATCATATCTGCAAGTTATTCTTTTATTTAGGGTACTTATCCTAACTGTGGCAGGTCAGTCAAGTTTATCTTTGTAATCTTACTCTTACTGAACAGACCCATCCTTGTTTTGCCTAGTTCAGCCATTTAAAAAAACCTGTGCATCTCATGTATGATTTTGTTCTACTTTTCCCCTTTTTAGGTGGGCTGGTTTCCATCAACTTATGTTGAAGAGGACGAATGAATTCAAAACTTTTCTCTGCTGACCAGCAGTTTCAGGGATTGTAAGATTTAGTATCTTCAAAGTGTTATTGGTCTTGTTAAGTATTTAAACAGCAGCATTTTTGTCTGTCTGAACCTTCCAATCTTAATGTTGGGATTTATACAGAAGTTTGTGCTGACAGATTATTACCCTGCCCAGAGCTGTGCAAGAAAAAAACCTGCCGGTTTGCCATCACTGGGGATCAGTACAAAGTCCAACCTTCACCTTCCTGGAAGATCTCTGGAAAACAAATTTCTTTATGCTCCTTTTCATTTCACCCTGTACTACACCATGAATACTAGCTATGGCTGAATATTTAATAAGTCTCTTTTCTTCTAGCTAACATCTGTGATGGTACAAGGAGATGAAGGCTTATTATTCCTTATCACTGCATGCAGAAAACGAGTTCAGTCATTTCAGTGGGCATAAAGTACAGTCAGTAGACTTGTCTTGAAATATCAAACTACTTACCACCTTACAGTTTTACACTCACAAAAAAATTCTGAAGGAAATGTGAACATAGTAAGCATAAGTAGCATTCATGCATATATAATTAGTTAACTGACTACTTTGAGGTCCTGCCTAAATCTTCTAACAATTTGTTCAAAGAGAACATTTTTAAAAGGTGTAGTAATGTGGTATTGCTTGAATAAGTGTCCACAAAGTGGAATTGCGAGTTCCTTTTTTTGTCATCCCAAGTCTTTTTGTGTGGGTATTTTTCATTTAAGCAGCTGACCATAAAAGTGCAACTGAGGTTAGTCGTGACAAGATGTTTTAAATTTTTCAGCATTAACATTAAATAAATATTGTAGACCTATTCTATAGGAGAATATACTAATGCAAGATGATGGCACTTCTCAAGAACAAAACTGTTTATCTTAACCATTTGATTGATTCAGGTGAACTTTGATGGTTCCAAGTCTAAGCTGTCTTTTCCTAGTAAGGCAGGTGTTTCTATCATCTCTTGTTCTCTTATGAGGTAACGCAATGGGAACTTGCAGATTTCTTTGTGCCCTTTCCTCTCTTGTTCCCTGGATGTTAACAGCAGTGGAGTGGTCTTGCTGCAGTTTTATGAACATCCCCAAGGAAAAATGTGTGTAGGTTAGCTAGCTTGAAACATCAGACCTTGTAAAGTCATGTCCACCCCTTGGTGAAGCAGTGTTTTAATGTATTTGTGGAGGGTCAGAACTGCTGTAGTTACAAGCTAAAATAAATGTGGGTGATGTCTTCAGATGTGCAGTTTTAAATATTTAGATAATGTCTAACCTGGCTTGAAAACTTCTAAGAAAATAAAGCTCCTAAATGCATTTTCTTTCTAGGACAGTGCTGAGCAATCAAGAAAGTTAATCCATTCTGTCCCACATCCTCTCTTTTGCCTTTCCCTGTCCCCTGTTCACATAGGCATCTTGAAATTAGCGTGCATAGACACTGCACAATTTAACACTGCAGTTTTTTCCCGCTCTATAAGCAACATAATATCCACTGTTCATCCACAGAGCAGAATCTGCTAGTACGTATTTCAGGTTCTTTTTGGCTGTCCCTGGTGTTCTTTGCTTCTTTCTGGCCTCCTCCTGGCCATTAGGAAGAACCAAGTACAGCACAGAGGATTCACAGTAATCCCCTTTCTCTGCAACAGTTTTACCCATCTGCTGCACCTAGCATACACTGCTGTGTGACCAGGTGAAAGAGAGGGTCTTCTAATTAGAAATCCTCCACTTGTGAGATTCAGCCTTGCAGATGAAACACTGCTGATGCTCTAACTTTTCAAGGCTTTACCTCAAAATTATGTAAACTGTGATGGTGTCGAGTACATTATTTGGTGGAACAATTGAGAGCATTTGTAAATATGTAGATGATGCGTAAACTGTATTTTGTAAATGACGTGTACAGCAGTGTAGACTAGGGTATACTGTCTTTGATCATGTTTTGCCATGCAGTTTTATTGTCTATTGTGAGCCTGATCCTATAGTCCTTAAGTAGACAAAGATGATTCTTTCACAGTTTTGCCTGCTCAAGGAGTAGAGGAATAGGCTGTAGGCCTGTGAAGTGTTTAGTGCTTTGCTGTCATATAGTTCTGAGAGGAGGCAGTTTAATTCACTATGAGTTGAGAATGAGTCATGTTCAACAGCTTGGTTTTAGAATCATTTTGAGTAGTCTCTCCATTCTAAAGTTACTGTAAAGCTTTTAATCAGTTCCTGAGTCCAGTAATCAGCCTTTGAGAAGAATGAAAGCCATAGCTAAACTTACTTTTGTGGCATAAATCTACATGTCATTGTCTATGTTTAATGCCCTGTATTGATTGAGTTAATGCTGCATCTTAAACTATATATTTTGAGTACCAAAGACTTCTTAAATATTCTGGAGTGTCTCTTTCATGTGCTGCTTTTGCCTGTATAGAGGTTTTGTTGTCACGCAATAATGGAGTTCCAGTACTTTAATTTGTAATATTTTGTAAATATGTTAAATATAATAAACTGGTTAATTTTTTGTTTAATGGTATGTGTCAAAAAGTGTAGTTGGCTCGTATGAAGGTTGTGCTTCATTTGTCTAACCATCTTCTCATTGTGAGTAGAAGTTGATAATGTTGGTTTGGTTTCCCAGATTTGTATAATCCTTGTTCAGCTGTAAAATTGAGCTGTCAGTGTAAATGGGATAGTATAGCTTTCCTTGAGAGCTTTTTATTCTTGCGGTACTTTGCCTTCTGCCACATCCAGGAAGGTGGTGGTGGGTTTTGTTTTGTTTTTTAGCTGTAGAGAACATTGTGTAATCAGTCATATACTATTGATTTTTGTCTGTCAAATATGATACTTCTGGTTTTTTGACTGAAAAAAAAGTTATTCTTAAACAGTTACCTTTTATGTCATGTTTCATGGCAACGCCCTTTCTCTTCCACCTTCTGCTTTCTTCCTCTGTCATATGTGAATTAACGTACAAATTGAGGCTGAATTGAGCTCAAATCTGAAAATATAGTCTGTGGCTAATTTCATGGCCTACTTGGTAACCTTTTCATGGTGTAACGCATTCATGCATTTTTTACAGTATAACATTCATTATTAATAATGTTTATAAAAATATTTCTGGACAGGTACATTAATTCAGCAAGGTCAGTGATGATCCAATTGCAATGTTGTTTCATTGTGTCCCTTCTGTTTTTCAGTGGCAGAGATTTTCTTGTGGAACTGCCCTTCTAACCGATAATTATTAAACTTAATGAGGCGTTTACGCATCTCTACAGATGTAAGGCATAATTTTCCTGTCACCCATGAACATATCACATAACGGAGTCACACCTAATGCGAGATGCAAAAACGTTTCTCAATTAAATTCTCTTGTTAACGATATCACACTCAGTCACAGATGTTCTCCTTCCCCTTATATGCGAAAAGAGATGCATGTCCTCTGATGGGTGAGAAATTGAGAAAGCACTGTGTAATTAGGGCATAAGAACCACTTGTGACTGTGTTCTGAATATTCTTTTCAGTTGTAAGGCTTGGAAGCTTATTTGAAAATCTCAGCTTGGAAAAAACCTAATTCGAACAATGAAGATTATGCCAACCAGGATACCTTTCTCCTTTGCCTCACAGGCAAACTCCAGATGCTCTATGAGGGAAAAGGTTGATTCTCAAGGTATTAGCAGTTCATAAAGGTGAGAGAGAGGTGCTGTCTAAAAAAAAAATGGGGCTTGTTTGTACAAAATACCCAGACCCAGCTTTTGTTCTGTTGACATTGATGTTCAGTGCAAAAATGTTTGTTTCTGTTTCACGATAAATATTGCCAACACTTTGGAAAAAGCCAGATACATACAACTTGTGCACTAGCACTGTCATACAGTTTCCCCAACTGTATTGACACTACAGTACATTAACTCTTGTATCTGCTACAAACTGGTCTGCTGAGAGCCTTACATTGCTATTTTATCTGAAATTCAAGTTGTTCTGTTCAGAGAGCACTGCTTATTCCGTTTGAGTGACAGAGGAGAAGCGCTCCCTCCTCCATTTCATTGCTGAGCATGACGTTATATAACATGGAGTATCTCCTGGGTTAGTTTGGGTCATCCACCTGGCTGTGTCCTGTCCCAACTTCTGTTCACTGTGGGGAGGGCACAGAGTAAGAAACAGAGAAGGCCTTGATGCTATGCAACACTGTTCAGCAACAGCTAAAACGTAAGGGTTGGTCAGCTCTGTTTTTGTCACGGGGCCAAAACACAGCACTATAAGACCTGGTATGAAGAAATTTAATGCCATTTCAGCCAGACCTAGCACAGCAGGCAATGACAGGCAGAAGGTAAAATGACAGGCATAGATGCTGTGTGTAATGCACGGTGCTTTAGCAAGCCACAGTAGTATCTGTTGTCATCAAATTCAGGTAGGGTCATCACTGGCATACAACTTTGGAATGTATTCATTTAAGAGAAAGAAGTTAATGCATTCCCTAGCCTTTCTTGAAATGTGCCATGGAATTTTAGCTCTTACCTAGATGTCCACTATATAGAGGAATGGTAATTTGAGTAATTTTAACTTCATAAAGCTGTGAGATGAGACGTTAATGATGCCCATTTTTCCACAAAATGCTGAAATGTATGGTGCATGAATAATTAGCTAATAGAAATATAGAGAGGATTAAGCATCAGAAATTGACTGCAGAAGGGTGATTCATTGTATTATCTTAGCAACTTCCTTTTCAAGAACACAGAGTCGTTTGTTTTTATAGCAAATGAGATTTGGGTTTCTAATTTAGTTTTATAATTCCTGATCTGCTGTAGTGTATTCTGCCCATTCATTATAGGGATCTCTGCTGCTTACATGACTGTAAAGTTAGATTTTATTTAATAAGCCTCCTGAAATGTTTGAGTTATTGGTGACTTTTTCTGGGTTACAGTTTTTTTTAACCTGGTAATGTGCTTTTCAGAAAATATGTGAGTTCATTTTAAAATGTTGCAATCTGACCTTAAGTAAATTCATAGTTACAACGAATGGCAGGTTCAGAGGTGGCTGTTTGCCAAGGGGCATGCGGCTGTTTTGTTTCTTTCAGAACTGTTTTTTTATATTAATAGTGTAATACGTGGCTTTAGGAAGAACAGAAATAGAAAAGATCAGAGAACAAGAAGGAGAAAGTTGATACTATACCATATGTGTTTAGAAACAGCGTGGTGTGTGATAACTTTTCTAAATGATTGCCCAAAATATTAAATGTCTGTTGATAGTGTTGGATGGCAACGGAAATTCTCTAATGCTTCTGTATGGGAAAAGTTTGCTAATGCAGTAGAGGGATCAAGGACCCTTGGACTTGGTCCCAGTCCTACCAGATAAAGTCTATAAATCTGTCCTGTATTAGTTGTATTTTTTCCCAAAGCAATTAAAAGGTTTTCTCGAGGAGATGCAATATTGTTCCTAGGATTATAATTCTTCCTCATGCATAAGGCTAATGGAAATATGTATAACTGAAGGAACCTTTTTTCTCTGGAAATTTTACAATCGGTGTCTCTGTAGCTTGTAAGCTATAAATAATGTGGAATGTGCCAGGAGGCCCCCCCACTACTAAGTTACTGGGTGATGTGCAAACACCTTTCCTACCTCTTCTCCCAGGTATTTTAGGTTTTGAATCCTGAGTTTGTTTTCCCTTCCCCTTCCTGTCAAATGCTATTTAAAGTTGGTATCTCAGAAGGGCCAGTTAGGTAAATACAGTGTGATCGCAGTGGC